AATGAGAATAGGGAGACGGAGACTGGAGTCGACGCATATGTCTATCCCCTTGGGATATAAGTAGCAGTGTAAGTCTAAGCACATCTGGGGGCTCTTGAACTTTCTATGGTCTTGTGGGTTTTAATTCCTGTTCCTCAAGATCAACTGCATTATTCTAATTCTAGTCCGGACCTGCTAAAGCTCACGCAGCGCAGTTAGACAGGTCCTATCTAACTAGGTAGGCAGGGGTGCACCGTCTCAAATCGAGTCTCGCTTCTATTGGAAAGTCGCCTCTATTTCAGCGTTCTTGTAAGATGAGAGCCCTATCTAAGGAAAGAGAACTTAATATGCGCACCTGACGAAGCTAGAACAGCAAAGCGTCTCTTACCCCGTTGATCAAGTCGTAGGTTCCAGATGACCTGTCCGGTCCTTCTCGTCAATCGACCTACCCTTCCTCACTGCTGTGTCGCAATATCACTTAACGCTACACAACCCAACGCTACTTCCTTTTTTTTCTGGTAATTAGGCCACTATGGAACCTATAAGCAGGGGATTGCAAATCGTCTTACCGTTCCACTTCAACCTCCATTCTTCTCCAGTTCCATCTTCCAGTCCATACACTTCTCACCATCTTTGGTCTATCATTGCCTAACTTTCAATGTGCTTATCAAAAAACAAAGGAGTCATTCGTTAAAACAATTGAATTATAACTTTCATACTTCCAAGACCATTTTCAATCTCTATTGACGACGAGAACCACCCTCATCTGCTTACTGAAGACATCGATATCCGAACCAAATCCACCAAATCCACCAAAGACGGCGCCATCCCTCTGGCTCTATTCGAAGTAAGTAAGCTTTAGCTCTTTCAATTAGGCTCCGTTTTAACAACTATGCAAAGAATGCAGGCTTCCGGCCCCGTGGACTTTCGATACAGTTAGCGGCTGATGAGGTACCATAAGTCCGTCGCCGAGTATTTGAAGCAATCCGGACACGGTGCCACTGATGTTTACGTCAACATAGCCTTACGTAAACCGGTAGAATCATACAAGGGAGAGAGGTCCGCCATACTCTTTGTGAAGACAACCGATGATTTGGGAGGTCAGGAGTTAGTGGATGGGCCCCTGCGTAGACTGGTGGAAACATCGGATATATGGCATCTACCAGGCATGATATGCGCGGACGTTGATCCTGGCATGATGCATAGAGCTTGGGCTGAGGCCTATTCCCGTCTGTATGTGATTGCTCCCATGTCAACCCTTACTTGGATCATTGTCGCGAACTAATCAATTCAGGGGTATAAAAATAAAGCAATTCAACAAGGTGGTTAGCAAGGAGATAGTGAAAGTCACAGACAACGAGGGCCACGAAAAAAAGGTTCTTATCGTAACATTCGGAGTCGACGTCGACCTAGAAAGCTTGAACGTTGCCGAGTTCAGATATCCCACGCACTGCTAGGCGAAGCTGAATGAGATCGACGACCCGGCTTTTAAATTACGAACTCTGGCCATCCGTCGCCGAATACGCCGATATATGAGAAGTTTTCACAAGTACAGTTGGACCGTGCCCAAAGTCTTCAGTGACAGGTAGGCATTTTCAACCACTGGACTCTGACAGCGATACCAGGCGGTTATGCCCACGCTAGTTCCATGAGACGACATATGGGGCCAACTGTGTGTTTTTTTTGGTCTGATAGCGATTTGGGTTAGATTTTACATGTTAGTATTAGGTTATCAGCGGTTCTGCCTGTGATTTTCAGGAGTGGTCAATCAGAACAATTAAGCGGACAAGAACGAGCAAGAACGAGCTGCTATGCAGCAGTCATGCAGAAGTGTATGCTCATTATGTATGTACCGATAGCATTGTAGTATGCAACATAGTGCGTCAAGCACTGCATACGCTGACTCAGTGTCATCTCATGAGTGTAAAAGACACACACATATATATCATTGTACAACACAGAAGTTGTGTGTTTGTTTTGTGTGGATCAACTGCTACATAATAGGTCACATATGTATGTACGAGAACTCGCAGTATTGATTAAACACTTGCATATTGCATAAATTTAAAGGTTAACCTAGATTTAGATCGCAGGAGACAATCAATAAGCATCCCCTTCAACATTGCGTTTTCCAATGAACTATGAATACAATATCTTTCAGCAAATAATTCATAATCATTTCATTGCTTGAAAATAAATCAACGTTCAAAAGGAACCCCTGGAGCTTGTACAGTACCTACGCGGTATGCAAAAACATCAACTACAGAATACCTGTACAGTGGAACTGCTGACCGCCTTTGTTTTTGTCCCTCTCTGGATGGACTGCTATATGTCATATGTACCTACCCGTACCCTTCTTGTTGATTCAATCACCTTTCAGTACAAACTACGCCCTTTTATGTTCTCTCCATCATCCATCTCTATTGACTGGGACTTCTCCTGTTTGCGCACGAGCTGCCTTGTCTCTGTTTGATGATTTCCGTTGCCCGTTCCCACTTGTACATCTCGGACACTCGTTGTGCCAAAGCTGTACGGTCGCTTTTAGTCGCTTTTAGAGCCTGCCAAGCGAGCTCTCCGTGAAGCATCCACGTCGCTATCCCCTCTTCACTCGCCCCTAGCCTACCGTCTGTCGTCTTCCATTCTTTCGTTTCCCATCTTCCGCCTCTTAGGATTGGTGGCTCTCTGCGACGTCAACCATGCTCACTGAAAAAGAAATCAATGATGCCGCCAAGAAACTAGCTGAGTTCCGCGCAATCAGTGCCGAGGAGGACTTTCTACAACGCTATGCCGACCTCCTCAACAGCTACCAGCAACTGAGGAGTGACTACGAAGAGGAGAAACTTAATAGAGAGCGCTACAAACAGCTTGCGCGTAATCAAGAACGGGACCCATTTGTACTAGTCCTTATTGATGGAGATGGATATATATTTAACGATGACTTCCTTCACAGGGGTGCTGATGGCGGCTTACAGGCTGCCCAGCACTTGTACACGGAAGTAAAGAACAGCCTCCGAGCAAAAGCCCTGGATAATTGTGATATCATGATTCGCGTGTATGCCAATCTTGCCAATCTATCCAGGACTCTTTCTAAAAACGGGCTCGCTACTGCCGATAAGCGCTCCCTCTCTCCCTTCGTGGCCAACTTCAACAGAGCATACGGGCTTGTCGACTTTGTTGACGCGGGCGAGCTTAAGGAGAATGCTGATTTCAAGATACGTGCTCTTTTAAGCCTATATGCCGAGAATGCCCAGTGCAAACACATCTATCTCGCTGCCTGTCATGACGTGGGCTATCTCTCTGAGGTGACTAGGTTCAGAGGGGATCGGAAAAGGATGACACTTATACGATCATTTGGGCTCCTCTTCCACTCCCAATTTACTAAATTAGACTTGGGCATCGAGGAACTGCCCGGGGTTTTCCGAACAGTACCTCTTGATGGAACTATCCCGTACACCAAGCCTACCTCAAGTGCCGACCTAGCGAAGAGCAACCCGCCGGCTGGACCTTCTGCTACTGGTAATGCAACCTACCAGGGCGCCAACTCATGGGACTCCCAGAAGATATGCCAATTTTATCAGTCGGGCAAGTGTCGGTTCGGGGGAGATTGCAAGAACGCCCACGTTGATACGCGAACAACCAAGCCACTATATTCCCTCCAAACTGGTCATTATAACAACGAAAACCCGGGCGGTCCCGGTCGTATAAGGTCTTTAGGTAATACACCTCTCTATGAAATAGACGGTGTATCACCAGGCGGGATGCCAGCAAGGTGTGATCTTGCGAATCAACTACCGAAAAAGAGTGATATACCGGACGGACACGTAGCCGTGAATAGGAGCAACCACCGGCTAGACGCATACATGGTACCCCCTAGCTCTGCGGCCTCTTCTAGACTTAGGGAACTGTCTAGCACTACAAAGTTCTGTAACAGCAAACAACTCACGAATTCATGCTCTAACGAGAACTGCGAATACGAACACTTCCCACTCCCAAGCGACTTACTCCCTGCGTTAGAGTGGCTATCGCGTTCGCTACCTTGTTCGAAGAGAGGGAATTGTAGGGTCCAGTCTTGTGTTCTTGGTCATATTTGCCAGAACATGGAGTGTCAGAACCGCGGTGGCAAGATCAAATGCAAATTACCGATGGCTGCACATATGGATCTCATTCTAGACCACTACGTCCCTGATTCGAATTACACGGACAGGATCAACACGGAAAGCGTGCTAAACAGCCCTGCCACCGTTGCATCCTCCCACTTCAGCAGTCAAGTGAACCAGGGTTCCAGCGATGACTCTTGCGACATTCCCCAGTTTGACACGGACGCTCAACGTGGAAATAGCCCTGGGCAGGTGAGAAGCCAACCAGGAACACCCAATTAACAACCAAATTATACGACTCTACCCGCCCCTGATGGAGCGTGGTTGGCCGTAGGTTTCAACATTTGTACTCTTTCTAAGAAACAACGAAGACTAGAATGTCTTCTCTTACTATAGGATATGCTCTAGTACGGTGACGGATTTACCAAATTCGCCTAGCCAGACATACTTAGAATCTCAACCTCCTCAAAGGAGGAAATGTTAGGCAAATATCATAATATGTCTTTAAGACATGATTCAATGTTAGAGACCAGCTTCATCATAGATGAAGTTTGTAAGGACTAAAAAAGAGGAGAGAAATGTTTGAAGCAAGCATCGGGGGCTTCAAACAAATAAAGTAATCTCATAACAATATAAACTGATGTGCACCATAGTTTTCCAGCTTTGTATGTGACTACAAGATATCTAGTGAATCTAAGTAAATAGGAAACACATAGTAGGTGTATCCTAATAAGGTGGGCTACCATGTAGAGTCTAGGTCTAATCCCCATCCTAAACAGCACCAGCTCCTACAATATACATATAGGGGAAATGCAGAAAGAAAAAGAGCGTAGGTAGCATATTTGGGATAAAGTTCACTGTTGCTACGGATCATGTATCCTAGACATTTATAGCCTGGGAGCACTAAAACTGTTATAGTTGACTGGCCTCGTGGCCCAATGGCAAGGCGTCTGACTACGATAGAGCATCCACCTTCTGGATCCTACCTGATAATCAGGAGATTCTGGGTTCGACCCCCAGCGAGGTCATAATTTTAATCATCGGATCTTTCTTTTTCGAATATTTTTTTGACAATTCTTTTTCTCCATGTGATCATTAGCTATCTCATTTTCAGTTTCAGTAGATGTCTGAGATACCTGTTAGGTCGGGCTCATAGCTGTACCTGAGTTACTTAGCGACTATCACAGCCTGCGACTCTTACAGCCTACGTCATTACAACCGGAGCATTGAACATGTTCGTAGCACCTTACAGCACCAGATTGCCAGTAGTATCATCTACGCCTATCAGCCCTATCCTATATTCTTATGTATCGAGGTTCATGGCAGGTTTCTTTTGTAAATACCTAGATACCTAATCTACCTACATATTCAATCAGGTGTCTTTTACTCTATCAAACCAAATAAACTCGTCAACCTCAAGCTCCAATCCCATCTTCACAGCCCTGTCGTTCTGAAACCTAAATTCCGCTGCGATCAGTTCCTCGTCGCCTGCCTGGATACCGCTCGAATGGGCGATGTATTCGGTCTGCCCGCGCACGTGGTCGAAAAGCAGCGAGAACCCGACCGACCGATCCGCCGCGTCGACGAAGAGCTTGTCGCCCTTGACGGCGACGGTCATGCCGCGGTACCCGGGGTTCCAGTACTCGCCCGCGTACGCGCTCAGCGGCGTCTTCTGCGGCTCCGTCGCCTCGCGCAAGACCCGCTCCTTCTCGAGCGTCTTCGGACCGCGCTCGTACTTCGCGGTCTCGTCCGACACGAATCCGTCCCAGTCCGGCCGCTCCGGCGCCGGCACGCCCAGAAACTCGTCGATCAGCTCCCGGCTTAGGACCGTGGCTACGTCCCCGGCGCTCCCCGCGTTTCCGAAGATCACGCCGCCGAGCTTGAGGGCGGGCGCGAAGAAGTGCCGGCTGCCGAAGCCGGGCACGAAGCCGTCGTGGCCGATGACCGCGTGGCCGCGGTAGTAGAATATCTCTAGGCCGGCAGCGTATACCAGCGGTGAAGTCTGTGGTTCACGGTCCTCGGGGTCGTCGGTGGTTAAGGTTCGCATTTTGATAAGTCCTTTATAGACCTCCTCGTCGATGGGGTGCTCCTGGTTCATCAGCGCCTTCACCCATTTGATGTAGTCGTTCACGCTCGTGATGATCGAGCCGGCTCCCACGCCTTCGGGGCAGTCCAGAGCCTCGAAGCCAATGTAGGTCTCCTTTTTCTTGTTCCATCCGTACCCCTTGGAAATGCGATCGCCGAGACCGGAAGACTTAGAACGCGCCGGCTGAAGGTGGGTCGAGGACATCTCTAGAGGCCCGAAGAAACGTTCTTGTAGGAAATCACCGAAGTCGAGTCCACTTTGGCTTTCTACAAGGTATGCTGCAACCGAGTACATCATGTTGTTATACATGTACTTCGATCGGATGGGTGCGGAGATTGTTAAGTTTCGCAAGTTTCTCGTGATAGACCGCACATCATCTGGTTGCGCTGCTCCTATTCCCAGATAAGAGTCGTCATGACTATAAACGTCAGCGACACATAACAGTGAGTCGTGTCTGTGTGAATAAACCCTCACTGCGGCATGCCCGTCCTATGGCCAAGGATATCATCCACAGTGACCCCTTCCGTGTATCCTTTACCCGGCATAACGAAATCCTCGGGTAAAAGACTCGACACGACGGCATCGTACTGCACATTGGGATATTTTTCGTTGTCGCGGACTAGCAGCGCAACCGACGCAGCTGTCATAGACTTCGAAGAGGACGCGATATCGAACAGAGTATCTGCGGTGCATGGCTGCGGCGGATCGAGTGATGCGAACCCGTACCCTGCGGAGAACGTACGGTCGTCCTTTATGATCGCAACAGCTAGACCAGGCACATGATACTTCTTCATGAGCTCCTCCACGCGCGCGGGGAAGTTTGGAGAGTTAAGGTAATCCATTATTCGGTGGTTAATCGTGTCAGCTCCTTCTTGAGTCTCTTCGGCGATCCGAGTGCCCTGCTGAAATAAAGCCTGCCAGAGCTAAAACAGTCAAGGTTCCCACTGTGTCTTTTTATAAATGCCGTCGTGGCTTTAGAATGCACCGGCGAGTGCGACTCAAAAAAAGCCTCCTTTGGTAGATCTGTATTCATCGACATCTCAAATAAGTGAGTCATCGGCGACGATGCTAGACGTAAGATTGATTCAGGTTGAATCATAGGATGACCGCAGGATAGAAACTCGTATACAACCAATCATAATTTCTAACTAGGCATAGGGCTGAACAATAACAATGATGAGTGACTGGTCTTGTTTAGGTCTGTAAGACGTTCGATTGATTGGGTAATGAAATCCTAATTGAGACTTAGCAAGGCATACTCATGTTAAGGCGTACTGAGAGAAGGGCTTTCTGCTCACCGTCTGCGACTAGATCTTAAGATATGTTACCCTACATGCGGCCAAGTCCTAGTTGTCATTTTTATGACTCCAGTGCTACTCGAGGATCAAGCCGATTCAATGGCTTCATCTGTGGGACGATGCGCGTCTTGATGCTGACTACCGATTTTAGAGCTAATTAGTGATACGGTAAGCAGCACTATTGCCGTGAGCCGAACTATAGATGTTGTAGATCCGGTGTGTACTGGCATCTTCTAGAAATATCTCGCAAATTAGGGGGCATTGTCTTGAGCGTCTTCTTTGCTAGCGTCGCTATACAAATCCACCTCGCTCAACCGTCTAGCTTCTGCTCAGTGCTTTGAGTGCTACCATTTATATAGCTATATGGCAGAACATGGGGGTGTTGTCGATACACTTAGCCCATTAGATGTCTAAGCTGTCCCGGAGCCTCAAATAATATCGATTTTTGCGCCCAAAACGAAAGAACTGGCTCACCAAAGAGTCACGACATCTACTCGACAAATTGAATAGGAGCTGTGATAGGTGGCCGCCATTTATCTTGACTGGATTCAAAGAGCCTCAGAAGTAGATTCATAAGATACTATCAAAGAGTCCAGGGTACTAAAGATAATCCTAGGGAATAAGGTATCATGATTATAGGTGCTCGTTCTCATCACTGCAGATCAGTACGATGGGAAGCCATACAAAGCTCCAGGTATATTTCTATCAACTTTGCGCCTAGATGGATAGTCATAGGATAAGATAGTATCTATTAGATAATACTATTGGAGATTGGGGTTCTCGGAGGGTTGCGCACCGAAAAGCACGTGTTAAAAAGGTAGGGTAGATGAAGCTATCTACAGTAGGTGTCTAAGACAGGTGCCTATTGTTAGACCACTCCCCGCTCCCCGCTCCCTGAATCGCTGCTGCGAACCCCGCAACCCCGCACTATCCTCCCCTGTCCCAGGTTAAACAGCACTCCACACTTATTGAAGTCATTTTCAATTTCACAGAGACACTCTTTCCATGTGCATTGTGGAAGTGTTATGATTAATGTATGAATTAATATTTACAAGTACCTACTTACATGTAGATAGGCACCTATTAACACTGCTAAGTGAGCGCCAGGGAGTAGGATAGTACTGTTACCGCAGCATTGTCGTCAGGTAGTGTGACAGTAGCACTAATTTTACTACCTAAATATTAATCGCCAAACCACTTAAGGTAAATCTGTGTACGTACGTATACCTATCTCCAATGGCCTTTCCATCAATCATGATCTGTGGTTCCTGTAGACACGGGCGGTGACTACCTAATTATATATATCGAGTAGTCATCTCCCTACCTCTTACATAAAACCTGTGGTTGTTACCCCTCTTCCATTGTTGACATCCCACAGGTTCATGTTTGAAGCACCCTTTAGCTTTCATCCTCCAGATCACCACACTTACACCGGTCAAGATTGTTCCATATCATTTGGGGACAGCTAAGAAACAAATCAAGATGGCTCCCTCACGACATGATTTAGATTCTGGATGGCAATTCAGAGAAGACGACAACAGTGGTTCATCGAATGAAAACCCATGGCTTCCTGTACAAAAGGTCCCAACTCAGGTTCACACGGATCTGTTAGCCAACAAGAAGTATGCTGATAATTCAATTCTTCATGGCCTCGTTCTTAATTTTCCAACATGGTCGTTCTGAATCAGCGTACAATCTCGCCGCTCACCATTTTATAGGATAGTAGATCCCTCCTTAGACCTCAACGAGTTAACAGTTCGGCAACTGGCAGAAAAGCGCTGGACATACAGAACACAATTCTCTAAGCCTTCAAAGCTACCATCCAATGCATCGACTACTACAGATTTGGTATTCGAGGGGCTCGATACTTTTGCAACAGTCTTACTAAACGGCGTCGAGATCTTGAAGTCCGACAACATGTTCATCTCTCATCGTGTTGATGTCACTACCCTTCTAGAGGATGTGAACAAGTTGGAGATTCATTTCGATTCAGCAATGCTTCGTGGAAGGGAACTCGTCAAGGAACATTCCCACGAGCATACTTTCTACGTAAGGCAGACAGAGGTTAGTCGCGTGCCCGTGCGAAAAGCTCAATGTAAGTGGTCTTTAGAGCCTCCCGTTTTCGTATGTATTTCAACGCTTAAAGAGTGGACCCCCTCATTCAGGAGATTCACCTATACAATTTCTGTAAAAGGCCGAAGGGGATGACTAATCTTTAATGAATGAAGATCATTGGGGCTGGGATTGGGGTCCCATATTGATAACTGCCGGCCCATGGAAACCGGTTTACCTTGAGCAATATGTTGCTAAGGTCGAAGATGTTTGGGCCGAGTGTGAGGTCAGCGAGGACCTACAAACTTGCGCAGGCCGTATTTTGGCAAAGTTGTCGGAAGCAAATGGCAAATCTGTCAAACTATCGTTGTTGTTAGCAGGGTCAACTGTCTTTGAGAAAGAATGTACAGTCGATTCAAGCGGGAGTGCCGAAACGCCCTTCTCAATCACTAATCCGCAGCTTTGGTACCCCTTCACGCATGGAACTCAGACTCGATATGAGTTGAAAGCTACTCTCGGATCTTACGATACAAAGTCCAAGATGATTGGTTTCCGACGAGCTGAACTCATCCAACAAGAAGATGCATTTGGA